AGGGCAGGAGGAACAGCCTTGACTCCCCCGCCCCCTTTGCATCAGTTTGTCTTGCGGTTATTCAACATGATTGAGTTTTCCGAAGAAGGCCCTTTAGAGAGAGAGAGAACAAAACCGGCACCAACTTCTTCCCCCCAAAACGACATGAATATCAACCTGTCCGCTGGCAGGGCTTCGGAGCTTAGAGGCACAATAAAATTTACGGCGTCCTTAACAACTCCCAAGTAAAAGCATTAAAATTCCCTTTAATTGAGAAAACATTGATTTTTAACTCTGGAAAGAACGAACCCGTAATTTAATTGCAAACTTTCACCGACAGAGCAGCATCTCGGGGAGGCCACATTCCATCTTTAATAGAGCCACTTTATGAAGTGGTAAAAACAAAGAAAACCTGACAAACAGAGAGACAGTTGCGATTGCGAAAGAAAAGTTATTTGCCTTCCCTTGCCCTCCTCGCAGCTCCAAACTACCGCGCTCTTCCCTCCCCCGCCACCCGCCACCCCCCGATAACAAAACACAAGTGTAAAAGCAAAGGATTCGGGATCCAGGGGAGAAGCGGGAGTTCATACTTTAAATAACGATTTGCCTTTAGCGGGCAAGGAGTGATGCCAAGAGGTTTCAGGGAACGTTTTCACAAAATGGTAGCCTCTTTTATAAAGGAAGGAAAGGAATGGGATAAAATTTCCTTACTCTCCCTTGTTCGTGGAAAAAAAAAAAAAATCATTGCTGAAGGGAAAGGAAAGGGAAATCCCACCCTCGCTTTCTATCTTATTTCTGTATCGGTTTTTGGTATTATAGGAGAGTAAAGAAGTTTTTGTTTGGTGGTTTTTCATTGATCAGTCACTCTGAGCTAATGTAATTATCCTCATCAATAGAAGGCTGCAGAGAGAATCATTATGTGGGTGACATTGATAAATGATCACCCAAGAGCTGCCTTTTCTCTTGGGCACCCCCACATATGACCCTCCCACATACACAAGGTAGCCATAGAAACACCTTGAGATCCTCAAACACTGCTGCAAATGGGAGAATACAGAGAAAGCGAGAGAAATCCAACTTCACACACTTTCTGCCCCTGCTGAAGCCTCCTCCTTCCCAGAGCACGCAGCCACCGAGCCGGGCTCCGCTCTGCTGCCCTGCCCCGCGGGCGCGCAGCCCCGGCCCCGCTCCCTCTCCCGCACCACGCCAAGTATTTGGGGCGGGGGGGGGGTGTTATGGGGCTTGCTTCTTTCTCCCTCTCTCCCCCCCCTTCCTCTGGAAGAGTTAAGCAATGAGGTTACACGCAGCCCACGGAGTCACTGCTCTTTCCCTGCGCGCGTTGTGGCCCCCCCCAGTTCGCAAGTCGCTCTCGGAGATGCGCACCTACACCCCCCCCCCCCCCACAAATGCGGCTCTTGGCAAACGGTCAAACCCGAATTATTAGCAGCGATCTTTTTAGTCACAGGACTCCACAAGAAGACTCCGTCTTCCTCACTAAGGCAAAGATTAATGCTTTTTTTCCGGCCGCAGACCCCCCCCCTTTTTATGTAAGCAGATTCTAAAATATTGAGAGCAGTAATTGATTCATAATGATCCATAAATCGATGCGAGGAAGGGGGCGAGGGTGTTTATTTATTTTATTCCTAAAGCTGCAAGTAAAGTAGCTTTGACACGGTGTGGGGATGAAGGGGAGGAGTTGTTTAGCTGTGCGGGGTCATCCATCATCACTGTCGCAGAGACTCTGCCCAGAGGAGCAACCTCCCTTCTGCCTGTCTCTTTCTCGCCACCGAAACTATTAATATTAAAATCTGCCTGCAAACCTCCCCCCCCGCCTCTCATCCCGCACCGTCCTCCTGAGCCCGGAGCCGGGGAGCCGGCTCTCTCTTGCGCCGCGCCCGCGGGGCCGATCTCTCCGAAAGCGCCGTCGGAAGAGTTAAAAAGCCGGCCCCGCTTCCCCTCGGCCGAACCCCGGGACGTGGTAGGGGAGGCCCGTCGGGCGGAGACACCCTCCCGCCCAGCGGAGCCCGCTCCGGCCCCTCCACGCGGCGCGGGGACGCGGCCGCGCGTGGGGAGCGGCTTCGGGCGTTTCCCGGGCCCCGCGGGGCTCCTTCCCCGCACGCGCGCCGGGGCTG